TCTTTACTAAAGGGCACAATATATTTCCAACTTCCTAACATTATCTGATCTAACTCAGTTAATGCTATGCTTTGAGTGTAATCATTTCTTCTAGAAGGGTCATATCCTATAAGTATTTCTTTTATAAAACTAGTAAAATTCCATGGGTTATCTCCTAGTTTTTTGAGCTGTTTGATTGTCTCCTCATACATTCCTTTAAAAGTTAGATAGATATTATAAGCTGAATCCCCTAAAAGTGTCTCCATATAGTCCCACATATCCGTTGATTCAAAGGGATTACTCATCCATGCCTTTACCATATCTTTTTCCCATTTTTCTATCACTTCTTGCCATATCTGAAGGTCGAATCTGGCTAAATCTAAGAGGGTTCATTGATTATTAACTGGCTGTAATTGTATACTCATATCTAGTTGTCTACACTTTCCATGAAACCTATAACTTTTATTTGGGTCTACTTTAATACGTCATGAACTTGCTAATGGTCTTCTTCCTCCTACTGCATAATGCATTGGTTCTACTGGATCTTCTACAGTTGGTTGTGGGTTACTAGTTCCTGTGTTTTCTGTATTCATATAAAAAGTATCTTCTAAATTAGATTGTTTTGCTATTCTAAATATTTTGTTAGGATGTATTTTATCTTCTATGATATCATCTACATATTCAGTATGAAATTCTTGGTCTAAAAATGACACTGCTTCATCATGGGTATCTCCCCTAGCTAAATATTCATAATATCTGGTGTCTAGTATTTTATTCATATCGGTTAGGGTGAAATTTTCCAAATCTATCTCGTCAATATTGTATATCTTATTTTGAGATATTATTTTTTCCTCTGTCATTACATAAAACTAATTTATGTCACTATGATTATCTTGATTTTCTTCCCTATCTATACTACTAAATTCATCATCTTCAGATTTTTCTGGTGCTACATAAGTATACTGAATAAATCTTATTGCATAGTTTCCATCTGCTCTTTGATATGCTCTTTGATATAATAAGTTATCTTGAGGAGCTAATCTCTTTTGTCTTAGAAAATCTCCTAGTTTCTAATCTAGTGCTGCATTATCTTGATAATTAAATTTTTTAGCTGGTAGTGCCTTAATTCCTTTTGCGCCTCACAACTTTACTATCTGATCATTCGTAAATCTATAATAAGTGTTGCTTTCTGAGACTGCTAAGCCTAAAAATCCTGTGCAAACTAATAAACTCTTTTCTCCTTTTTCCATTTTGTATCCCTTACTTTTTATTCCTATCTTTATCTTTTTATGAAAGGTCGAGGTTAGTAGTAAGAAATCTAGTATAAAATAAACTATTCCTCCTTTTGAATTCATATCTAATTCATAGCTGCCTAAAATATTTTGTCCTACATCATTAAACCTATCATCATAAAGACATACAAAAACTTTAGTTCCTAAATTTTCTATAGTTAATGTCGTAACTCCTACCACAATTAATCCTAAGTGGGTCATTTTAAGGTGTTCATTTACTGCATATTTATAACTTTCTCTATCTATTACATTTAGCTCTACTTTTTCATCTTCATAGGTTACAGCAATCATTTGTTCGCCGTAGTGTTTAAATAGATATTGTTTTTTATGAACTTTACCTAGCTTATATACATATTTAGCTGGAATTAATTCTAGTTTATCTTTCTTAAATTTTTCTATCTGTTGTTCTACATCTATAAATTCTTCCATTTTAATATCTTCATCTTCATTACGCTTTTTGCTACTACTTCCGTTTACTAGCTGTTTAAACATTTTTATTTTCTGTAAGTTCTACAAGCGGATTTCTTTGGTAATTTGAGTTTTTCGAAATATCTAGTTATATCTTCTTCGTTTATTTGAGATTGGGGTTTGTTTGTTTGTCTTTCTACCCCTTTTCCTTTTCGAAGTATTATTCTTTCTAAAGAAACTAAACGATTTTCTACACTGTGCAATTGTTCTGATAGTTCTTCAAAATTTTCACACAATCTGATTAGAAATAAAATTTCTATATTATTTTGTCTTACTGATATTTTATCTGATTGATTTATTCCCTGATAGCTACTGATTCCTTCTGGGTTATTATGAAAATCTTCTGCTTGTTTTAAAATAATCTGGTAGTCTCTATTAGCCTTTTTATCACTACTTATAAACCAAGATCTTATTAGTTGTTCTAAAATTTCTAATTTCTGTTTTAAATTATCTTGTATTTGGTTGATTTGTTCTGTTTGTTTAGCTATTTGATTTATCTGGCTATGAATTTTTTCAATTAATTGTTTAAATTCTAATTCTATTTGTTTTGAGCTGCTGGCATTTGTAGCTGAAATTAGAGTTTCTATTTCTAACTTTGTGGGAAATTTTTCTAAATTTAAATCTATTCGTTTTTGTAAGATTGAACTACACTGGTCTTAGATATAGTCTAATTTTTTATCTTGATCTTTGATTATGCTACAAGTATTACGAAGATAGTCTATAGATGAAGTAAAAAGACTACTAATTTTATCTATGTCCTTTTCAATATTTTCTGCAAAATTAATCTGATAATCTACAATACTATTTAACTGAGGATTATGTTCATTATGAAGGTGATATGTAAAAGTATCTTCAAAATTACAACGAAATTTATTTTTATCTATGTTAAGGCGATGGTTATGGTTACTGAGTTCTAAATCTAAATATTCTACTCTTTTCATATACAAAATTAACTCCTACTTTAAAATTATGAAAAGCTACTATAACATGAAATTTATAACTAATTTGTCCAAAAATAAAAACTACTCTATTTCCATAAGCAAAATGCATAAACTAACTTAAACTGTCATAAAACCGAACACTGCTCTGATACCAATTTTTGGGGGTGGGTGATGAGTTAGTGGTTTACCACTATTTTAAAATTGGGCTGAGAATTATCTAATTAATTCTACAGTTATGCTAATAAGTTTTCAAGCTATTGTATAGCTAGCTGCAAGGCTTCTTGTTTTACAATTATTTGTCTATTTATTTGAGAAATTTTTAAACTATAATTTTCTAGGGATCTGCCAAAAGATAATGATAAGAGAAATTGATATCTTAATTTTTGATCTTCTAATTCTTGTATAAGTTCAGTACTGATTTTGATTTTAATCCTAAGTTTTTCTTCTAAAGGCATAAAGTTTGATTTTTAAATTCTTTTTATGGACAATATTTCCTTAATGTTTCTACTCGAGTTACTCTCCTTTTATTCTAAAATTCTTTTTATTTGTCAAAACTATTTTTAGGCAATGTTTGTTTTCATTACATGTACTCCCACCTTGAAGCTATGCTTCGTTCAACATAGTTTATTTTTATTCTCTATTTTTTACCTTTCCCTTTCTGCCTACAATTTGCCCTCAAACGCCTAACCACGGCTCACACGGGCTCTTCAGCTAAGGTCACTCAGTAATAAAATAGAAAACAACAGATACTACAAAGGTGCAAAGCATGTAATATTAATGAGCAAACAAGCATTCCATAAACTTAGTTTTTTCAAAAAGAAAACAAATTTTTAGAATAGAAGAGTTACCCTTTTGAAATATTTAAGGAAAAAGAGAGACTACTCACACTTCATATTAATAAGAAATATATTTACAAAGATATTACAGACTCTAAAATTCTGAAAGACTTTGGTACACTTAGAGATTTTTTAGAGGGATTGAAAATTTTTACAAAGTAGAGTGAAGGAAAATTTTTCATTCTGCTCATTCCGTTGGCAAGAATGCCAATTTATACACAAAGTTGATAGATACATACAAGTCTAACAATCCCAAAAACTATACGTCAAATGTTTTGGACTCAAAAAGTCTAAAAGGCTACTCTAGTTTAGGCTATAGACTTTTATAACAATTTATATGTCATAAATGCATAGATTTTGACTTAAATTACTATTTTAGATATGGATAAAATTTTATCAATAAAAGGTTATGATAATGATATCGGGTACTGTTTTGGGCCCCATCGCATATCATTCAATCCTTCTTTTTTGATAAAATTTTGACACTATAATTGATTACAGGACACGTGTAAGGATTCTCATAACTTTTATTTAATAAGGCAGGGTAGGGGTCGTCTGCTTTATTAAAGTAGTGAGTGAAGGAGAAGCCTTATTACTGACAGACACAAATAATTACAGACATAGATATTTACAATCGCTATTTGTCTTTTCTTGGCGTGCTTATCTCTGATTATTGAAGAGAAGCTTTATCTTTTACAAAATTTGTCTCTTTCTTCTTGGCGTGCTTATCTCTGATTATTGAAGAGAGTGTTTATCTTTTACAAAATTTGTCTTTTTCTTCTGAGATGGCAATAATTGATGTCGACGCTTGGTTGCTGAATCTTCAAAGTGGATTCTTCATGGAAGATTTATAAAATTTGAAGAGTCAAAAATCTTGTAATACGGAACTACTACAATATTTTCAAAATATTATATGAGTCTTAATTTTGAAGTACACCCTTCCCCTTTTTTTTCTTTCTTTTTTAAATTGATAGACTATTTTTCTATCAAGATTCATATTTGTTATATTTCTTTACCTTTGAAAATTTATTTTTAAATTAAAATCTTACTAATGATATCAATTTACGCATAATTATTGTGGCTGCCACGACCATCATCTCCCAACTCTCCACCACTGTCACCTCCTTCGCATCCATCACCACCACTAACATATCCACTATTATATTCGTTTCAAAATATCAAATAGTACCACACAACAAATATGAAAAAAATAAAAAAATCTCATATGAAAATAGATGCAGAATTAATTATCAACAAAATTATATTATGTACAAAAATAATTCGACAATGCTACGTAACTCAAATTTTGTGGTTTTAAAATGGCTCAAAAGGTCAAAACGACATCATTTTGAGTACAGAACAACATAAAAATGGCCAAAACAACTTCGTTTTGACCATTTAAACCATTTTTAAGTCACAAAATTTGAGTTAGCAGACATTTTCCAAAATAATTTCACTTCACTATACTCGTCTCAGCGATCCATCAACGACGACCAAAATTGCCTCCGTTTCTCCACTTCCTCTATGGCCTCTGCATTCACTCTCTTCTTCTCCCTTGAACCCCACCACCACCACCACCTCCGCCGTCGCGGCCACCATCGCCGCCTCTTTTCCACCACCCCCTTTAAGCCTCGCCACCACAACTTCACTCTTTCGTTTTCAACTTCTCACTCTTCTTCTTCTTCTTCTTCTTCAACTTCAACTTCAACTGCAACTTCATCGTTTACCCATCAAGACCCACTTCACACAACTCGAATTCTCACCGACGAAGACCTTCACAAGCTTCAATTCCTCGAGAATTTCAATTACCACCAAGAATTGAAATCTGGTTCGATGTGGGTTCGCGTAATGAAACCCCACGAAATCGACATTGTTGTTGCCCTGTTGTCCGAATCGTTTGCAGAGTCCATAATGTTTCTTGCTGGCTATGAAACTCTGTTGGGTTTGTTGGTGAAGCCGTACTTGATTGAGAGGAGAGCTCTTATTCCACACACTGCTACGCTAATTGGGTTCTACAGAGAGAGTGATGATGATGATGATATGCAGATTGCAGGGACTGTGGAGATTTGTTTTGACAGAATGGGTTCTAATTCTTATACTCCTTCGCCTAATCCTCCCAAAGACTCACCATATGTTTGTAATATGACCGTAAAGAAGACACTTAGGAGGTATGTTTTATAATGGGCTTTTTGAATATAGATTCTTGCTTCAAATTATCATTCTTTCATGCTTGTTTGGTGTGATGTTCAATCTTTTTTTTATTGGGTTATGAATTTGAGCTTTAGACATGTCTTTGGGACTCTATGCTCTTTCAATTGATCAATCTTTGCAAGCCATATGTTTCGTGCAATTTGGTTTTTTGGCTTCCGTAAGTTGTAGTAGCTGGGGCTTTTGAATTGTACACTTCCAATCCCCAGTTTAGCGATGGAACACAGAAATTATTCCATTCAGGTAGTGTTAATGAAGTGGAAGGGAATGATGGTTCAGTCAGAGTGTTGATTCTCACGTTTAGTTCACTAAAAAAAATGATAGAAGATGCATTACAAATGGTTAAAAAAAATTCTCCATTGTAATGGTCACAGGATACAATTTTGGCATGATGCATTGCAAGAGCCATGTGAGGTGGCCAGGTGGGTGTGTGGAAATTCAAAAATTATTAGGAGGAGATGTCAGATTTTGAGAAGCATGCGAGATTTGAGCTAGGAAATGGTTGCACGCTACAGTTTTGGCATGATGTTTGGTGCAAAGATGCTCTTAAATTGGTGGCCTATCTTGATATATATATATATGTATATAACATTGTTGTCAATAAGGATGCCTCAGTAGCAAAGTAATTGAATCTTTGTCCAGGACAGTGTGGGATTCGCTTTTCGTTAGATCCATACAGTACTAGCAACTGGAGACCTCAGAAAGTTGAGTGTAGTAAGATATAAGTGGCATGGGTATTTTGTTCTCCCATGATTTGATATTTCTTTCATGGGCAACTTCTTTGTAATCTCTTAGATTTGGTTAATATTAGTCTTAACAAACTGGCTTACCTCTTGGGATATAACTTAAGTTCCATTTTTTAAAGCCTAAAATGTTATGTAAATGTATTGACTATGATCCCACATTCCCAACTGTAAAAATTGGTTAAAAAACTTTTCAGGAGGGGCATTGGTTGGCATCTTCTGAAGGCTAGTGAACAACTAATTTCTCAGATGAGTTCCTCAAGAGAAGTTTATTTGCACTGCAGAATGATTGATGCTGCTCCACTCAACATGTATGCAAAAGCAGGTTATAGCATTGTTCAAACAGATAGCATCTTGATCCTCTTGACCTTGCAGAGACGCAAGCACTTGATGTGCCAGGAACTTCCAATCTTAGACAGCCCTTCAGACATCTCTGCTTCTAATGAGGGACTTCCTTCTTGAGCAAATATGAGAAAATCAGAAACTACTTACCTAAGGAACAGGCAAGCAACACTACATGTTTTTTTTTCTTTTTTGGCAAAGCAACTCAATTTCCTCTGTAATTGTTGGTACTCTCTTGTTCCTCCCTACACCGAATACACAAGTTATTTACTGTTGTACATTAACCAAGTTATGGAATACGCATGCTGTTTCCTATACTCTATCATAGAAATTTAATATCCATCCTTTCAATCTTGGCCTTAAAAGGCTTTCCAATTGTCAGAATGATTCATAATCTGGTTGTGTTAATAATCCAGCTGGGTTGATTTTTGCTTGAAGACCAACTGAATATTTCATATTGTCCTTTTATATCTGGTACTAAGTTTTTGGTTGAGACTCATGATGCTGTAGGAAAAATTTCACAAAACTCTTCAATTTTCAGGGGTGATTAAAGACATTATTACCCAACTAGAATTGACCAACTTTTTGAATAGTAGATGAGATAGATATTCTGTTGTTTGCTGGAAGGATATACATATGATGCTGCTGCTGCTGCTCTCTCTCTCTCTCTCTCTCAAGGTAGTCCATAAGTAGCTTGATAGCCTTGATTTACTGTTGAAACTGTTCGATTTATTTTCTTGTCAATATCACGATTCATGAACATGTTAAGGAGATATGGAAAATCTTAAAGAAGATAGCGTTCCATTAATGAGCATGTTCTTGTTTACACAAACTCAGCTCAACTCAATCCAACAATGTGACTGGTAAGAGTTCATTTTCAACTGGTTACACTGGTGAAATGTTTCTGTTAAAGAACTCGTATATTTTATGGATGGTTTTAAGAATCCGTATGTATTATTATTATTACTTTTTGTGTCTTCAATTTTAATAAGTAGAGCATTTTTCTTCTTTTATAATATTAGTTAATGCAATCTTTATTCAGTAGGATCAAAATTTTAGACGAGCATTACTTGTCTTTGTTCTTAGATAATATATAGATATATGTATGCATAAAAAATAGAAGAAGAAAGTTGTGTCCCATCGCAAATTGTTGCAATCAATCTCATAACGTTTTAGGTAGAAGAAGAAAGTTTATAAAGCATATTTGATTTGATATAGAATAGTTTCATCCTAACAGGGTTTCAGATCATTCTGAATGTATGCATAGCCTTTTCCAATCCTTTTGAATTTGTATAAAAAATGAGTTGGAGTTCTTTTACACATTCTTCCGTTGAGGGTCTCTCACTACTTTCAATACGGACACATCGTGATGCTAGGTTTGCAAACATGGCTATAGATTCCATTGTGTAGGAACTCCTGCTCATCTCCGGATCAATCACCGTGCGCAACTTCTTCTTGTTGTTCAATATATCTCTCACCTGAAACATTCAATAATCAACCATTGCAGTATTTTCTAATGTTCCTTATATTAGATAAATAACTAGAATGCTATAGGATGAGAGGAAATTGCCCCTACTTGGAGTACAAGGTTTTGATCATTAGGTCCTTGGTTCAGGTCCACGGCCCTCCGTCCAGTTAAAAGTTCCAATAGAACAACTCCAAATGCATACACATCACTTTGTAAGGTGAGTTTCCCTGTCTGTTGCCAAAATAGACATTCAAAGTTCAGTTCAGTCCCTTTTGCCAATCAGTGAAATGAAAGGCAGTCATGATCAGTTAATATCATGAAAAGGAAAATTAATTTTCGTATAGTCAATGAACGTAACTTGAGGAGGTATGTCATCGAGATAAAAAAAATAACACCCAATTAGTATACATTAATGTGTGTTTGGGAGGGGAAAGATTTAGTACACACCTAACCTTTGGCATAATGCACAAAACGGTTGTCTTGTGACTTGAACCCATAACCTCAAGGTTATTAGACCAAGGTATGTCATCGAGATGTACCCAGAAAATTGAAGGGGCGTATTCATGGACTTAGGAGGAGGGAAAGACTTAAACTGATATGAGATAAGATAATAAGAAAAGATATTAATTTAATTTATTTTTTGGACTTGTTACATTCTAGAAAAGCTCCGTTTTGTTTCTTGCCTTAGTTTGATTAAGTTAATTTCATAGTCATTTTTTTTTTAATATTTGTTGTTTATAGTAAGTGCTTGTGATTGCGGACCTACTAAAATAGGAATTGGAACTTTGAAAGAAGAATAATTCACAAATAGTTTATGCATGAAGATTAGTGAAATAACAAGAGAGAAAATACGAGGGAAGAATACATAACAATGTTCAACACAAACAATCATAAAAAAATATATATATATATTATCTTTGTAACGTGAAGATGGATACCGATGTATACTCAGGATCAAAATAGCCAAAAGTACCAAGCACTCTAGCAGTCGTGCAAGTTTCCTGGCCCTCTGGCATTAATTTGGCGAGCCCAAAATCTGAGATCTGTGGAAACAGGTAATAATAAAAATTCCAACCTATATAATACTTGTACTATCATGGAAAGTGATTCAAGTTATTTACCTTTGCTTCAAAGTTGGTGTTTAAAAGAATGTTGGCGGATTTAAAGTCTCTATGAACAATTGGAATCCCAATAGCGGAACCTGAATGGAGATAAGCAAGTCCTCTTGCTGCTCCAAGTGCCACTTTGAGCCTCAAAGGCCATTCTATCTTTATTTCTCCAATTCCTAGGGTCCATTAAAAGATGATTAGATTGTAGAAGATGGACTTCGACGAGCAACTCTGTGTTTTAGTAAAAAACCAACCATTTAAGTGATCTTCTAGGTTGCCATTGTGCATGTATTCATAAACAAGAAACCTATGCTTCCCATCAGCACAATAGCCAATTAAGGAAACCAGATTTGGATGGTCCAATCTGCTCAAAATATTTACTTCCACACGAAACTCGTGTTCCCCATCCGCTTCTTTAAATGGTGGTAGCTCCATTTTCTTGATTGCAACAACCTTCAAATTCCAAAATAGAGAACTGGGATATTAGGAGTTTTGGTATTTTTTGGTTGATTTATTTCTTGTGTAGAAAAGAACATAATTGGATCATGGAATAGGCTCCCCAATTGGAGAAAGGTCCTGTCTGGTAAAACTTTTTGCAGCTTTTGTGGCTTCTGCTTTGAAAATGTTTGTTGTGGGCTGTTGTGCTTTGTCAATGTTTCTTCTTTGGTAAAACTTTTCAGGTTTTCGACTTTTTAGCTTATTTTCTTTTTTAGTTCAAAAAGCTCCAAATAAGCTCAAAAGCTACTGGGAGTTTTGCAAGTGTGAACCTAAGTTGGGTAGTTGGACAAAACTCAGACTCAAGTAGGATATTTTGTATACAAAATCACAAATTCAATAATCAAATTGTGATTTTTGGAACCATGGTGAAAATAGAAACTGAACCATACCCCTCCAGACCGGGTCCTTGTGCCGTAAACTCGGCCAAATCCTCCAGATAATTTCCCTACTAAATTCTCATCACTGAAGGAGTTTGTTGCTTCCTCCATTTCCTTCAGTGTGAAAACCGATGATACTGGGTGTCTGTCTAAGGGCGTGTTTTGATCCTCGAGTTGCCAATACTCTATAGGTTTATATATCCCTGAAAAGTAGAGTCTTATAACTTGAAATCCAAGAATCACGGACACGTAACACAACATGGAAACACAGACATACAAAATTTCAAAAACTACTTGACACACAGAGAATGTGTGCAAAATATATAAGTTCATATATTTATTATATGTCATATTTTTAATATTATATATTCTATCAACCTTATGCATGCTACTCTGGTATAAAAAAAAAAAATTTGGAACAGTGGGTCCCTTGTGTATCCCTAGTATGTCCGTAGTGTGTGTCCCAATGTATCGAATTCCTCCAAGATTCTGACACGTGTCGGGCACCGGTACATGACCTCAGAGGAGGTGTTTGTGTTTCATAGTTTGAAACTGTGAAGAACTTGTAAACAGACCATTCAAGCTTGCTATGTTAATGATATCATTAGAAAGAAAGTTGCTATTAAGAGTGAAAACAGTAAATAGAAGCAGAACATACAAGGGTCAGTGAGATCCTCGGGCTTGCTTCTCTTGAGCTTGCTCCATGCTGAGACCAAACCGAAGGGCATGATGGCTTTGCTTCGAAAAGAGCTGGTTATCAGATTGAAAGACCGATTCTATTGCTTTGAATAGAGAAACTTACTTGCAAAACATATTGATGAATGGAAGGGGAAGAAACACATATTTTAACACACTCGGTCAATTAGATTTCAAGTGATTATTATATTGAATTGAAAATAAAGAAAATGGAAAAGATTGTATAAACAGAAAATGAGAATGGGTAGTGTAATATTCCTGTAAGAGTATGTATAAAGCAATTGAAAATAAGATTGGAGAATACCTATTCAACAGCACTATCTCCACCAACCTGGATGAGAGAGAAAGAGATAGAGAGAGAGAGAGAGAGAGAGGGGTATTTAAAGAATAAAAAAATGTAAAGAAGGAAACCAAGGAGTGCTGCTTACTCATCTTTGGGTGAGAAGTGTTGGAGTGGGATGTGTTTGAAAAGGAACGACAAGCTGCTGATTCTCCCTCCATTTTTTTTTGGTCTTTAAACTTTTGTGAATTGAGAAAAGATTAGATCATTTTCTTTCATTTAAGTTGAAGTGTGATAAGCGCCTCAGGGCGTAGGTCACTAGTTTGAATCCTGTGAAGCTTTTGACCTCGTTGATGTCACCCTCGGGCATGGTTCCAGTAATTACGTGGTATGTGTGGGACTAGGGACTAGTCAGAGCAAAGCTGGATATTCTAGTTACCAGAAAAATTTCTTTCATTCGAATAATTATTTTCTTCCCCACCCTATTCTCTTTTATAATGAAACAATGTCTACTAATATGATTATTCTAAACAAACCAATGCATAATTGCACTTGCACTATTTTGATGAATCAATGTTTATAATTGCTGTTGTTGTTACAGGTCTTTCAATACCATCTTGTATCTATACATTTACTATGTCAACCACTTTATTATTATTCCAATTATACTTTTACCATAATGCCTAGGGTGTTTTTATTTACACCACAAACACTTCTCATTGCATCCCTCATTTTTAATTTTTTTTATTGCAATTTTATCTCTACATGAAATTACTTAAAACTCCTGAAACCCTAAAATGTCAAAATCCTAATTATTCTACCCACCCAACACCTCCTCGCCACCTCCACCGTGGGCACCACCCCCTCCGCAGCACCCTCCCCACCCCTTCCCTTCCTTCCCCATCACCCCTCCCCCAGATCTGCCACCTCCCCCTTCCACCGCTGTTGTCCTCCAACTGCTTTTTCTCATCTTCTTCTTCTAGATCAAAAAACTTTTGATCTATTTTTCTCTCTCGTTTGCTCACACGCGGTGGAGGAGGTGTTGGGTGTGGAGCTAGGGTTTGAAAGGTTAGAGGGTGTAATAAGAAGATTGGATGTTAGGAATGAGGGTGTATTTGGAATAATGGAGGGTATAACGAGATAAAATGAAAATTTTAAATTTTTTTTAAGGGGTGTAATTAGAAAGTGGGTGTAATTAGAAAGTGGGTGTAATGAGGTAGAAGTATTGTGTAAATAGATGCTCCCCAATACCTATAGATGATTTGCTGTGTAAAATTCCATATTAACCCTTGATTGTTATACTGATAGTGCCACCATTATGATCACTATCTTTTAAAATGATTGATCTAACATAAATTGATTTCATTGTCCATTCATATGGAACGGAAATTCAAATATCCTAATTGCAAATTACCATAAAAAATTATAGAGTACTTGAAGAGCTGTGAAGTGCAGAGAATGGAATGCTTACATGGACTTTTCAGAGTCAGAGTACAGCAAGAACATCATTTAAGGTAAGCAAACAAGTTCTTCTATGGTAAAATACATAGTCATTGATTTTCTTTTGATTATCTTCTTTCTACCTTTGATAATGGCAACAGTTGATCTATATGTCTTTTCATGTTCTTCTTTCTACCTTTGATCTCCTTTTACTCTGTTTTCTTGGCTTGTGAAGATGTTGCTGAAAAAAAAATAATGTACCATTTGTAAGATTTTTTTTTTTTTTTTTTTTTTTCTTCCAAATTTTAAGGGTGAAAAAAAAAAATTGGGGATGGCTTGGCTTGGCTTTTAGTAATCTATTCACTTTTATGTTACTTGAAGGGCTTTTTTAAAATTATATTTGTTGTCTATTTTTAATGCCCAATGTGATAAAATAATATGACCACTATTGTTATTGGATTAATCTTTTTCTTTTTATTTTTTATGAATAATTTATACATAAAGGCCTACAAAATGAGTGAATTCAATTATTGGAATGCAGCCCATCTGTACTTCGCATACATCCAACTCATAAAATGGACTAAGGAGAAGTTTGACCCTTTTAATATATGGCGAAGGGAAAAAATTTGATATCGAACCCCTTTTTTCTTTTTTCTTTTTTTGGTGGTGGATTTATATGACAAAGACTTATTATTTTTAATATGGTAGATTTTATATGTACATATTTGTTATGTGAATTTACAAATGAAAAACTTTAGGAGCACATATATTGATTCCAAAATTGAATATAATCCTTTTACACGAAGTGAGTCTTGAGTCTTACCTTTATGTGATCCCACACCTATGTGAGGATATGCCAATCTCTATTGCTTAGCCCTTATATGAGTAGCCCTTATACAAGATGATTGTTTATGATTCTATGATTAGTTTGTGTCTAAATAGAAACGATGAAATTTACTGGACAACGGTCCAATCCTATGTTGCAAGTTCAACACGTGTCAATTTGTGTAACAATGTTTTTGGCAAGTAATAAGCATATGCTCTCATTGACATCCCTCCTCATGTTGATTTTTAGGGATACATATTGGTGATTTTGATGGATCATGGCGGGAAGTAGATGGAAAAGCAGGTATAGCAATAACAATGAAGAATCGGTTGCGCAAAGAGTCATCCAGCTGAATCTTCCATCAGCTTTTGCGGGGGAAGCAAATGCATGTCTACGAGCTTCTATGGGCAAAGGATCAAGGTTTTTTGACAATTACAGTATGTATGGACTCTCCGGTTTTGGTTGATACATTACGTAAGAGTCCTTCCTTCTTGCTCTGCCACTATTGTACTTGCGGATATATGTTTTAGTTGTAAATTTTTTAATTCTTAGAATAGTGAAGGTTAGTAGATTAGTAGTTAAGCCACCTCATGATCTGGCTACATCTGTAAATGATTTTCCCACTTAATAGTAATGTATGATGTTTTTCTGTTTCAAAAAAAAAAAAAACCAGCATATGATGCTCTCATTAATGAGGAGCTGGAGGCCATTCTACGAAGGAAAGACAAGAGATGGAGGCGGTTCCCTACTCATCCGCTGTAGGGAGTTTGATGTATGCAATGGTGTCCACCCGACCAGATATTGCTCATGCGGACGGAGTTGTAAGCAGATTCCTTTCCAATCCAGGAAAAGAGCATTGGGAAGCAGTCAAGTGGATTCTGAGGTACCTCAAGGGTACAGCAAAAATGTGTTTGTACTTTAGAGATGCTAAACCAGTCTTGGAAGGCTATACTGATTCAGATATGGCAGACGATCTTGATGGTAGGAAATCTACATCAAGATTTCTGTTCACTTTCGCAGGGGAAGCTGTGTCTTGGCAGTCCAAGCTGCAGAAATATGTTGCTTTATCCACAACAGAGGCAGAATATATTGCCGCAGCGGAAGCTGGGAAAGAGATGTTGTGGTTGAAGCGATTTCTCCAAGAGTTGGGATTAAAGCAAGAAAAGTTCACGGTACACTGTGATAGCCAGAGTGCCGTAGACCTGAGCAAGAATTCAATGTACCATTCTCGTACAAAACATGTTGATGTTCGGTATCATTGGATACGCGAAGTGATGGACAAGCAGTTATTGGAACTAATCAAGATCCACACAGATAAGAATCCAGCTGACATGCTTACAAAGGTGGTCTCGAGAGACAAACTCGAAATCTACAGAGACATTGCAGGGATGAACTTCAAGTGAGAAGTCAGTCATGCATGTGGGTATGGAGGGGGAGAATTGTTGTTCCAACCCACATGCATGCAAAACCATGCATCAAAGAAGATGGCGTAGTAAGACTTCCACCTCAAGAGAAGTGAAAGTCTGAGCTGGGCATCTACTCTCCCTTCCCTTCCCGCTGTTGCCTCTGTTGATTTTTACCATTCACCATTAAAGAGGGTTGAAATTTTTTTGGTGGGTTGGTGTATCTCTCTCTTCCACTCTTTGTGTATAAATAGAGACGGGAGGGAGAGGATGTATTGTATCAGAAATTGGAGAGTGAGAGCTGTGAGTTGAGTGAGTTTCATCTCCTCCTCTGTATTTGTATTTTGCTCCATTTTAGTGAAAAATTCTCATTTCTGTCCGTGAATGTAGGCATTAGGCCGAACCACGTAAATATTATGTTCTCTGTGTGTGTGAAATAATTTTTTTGGGTGTGTTTGATCCTAACAAAACAGGTATAGCAATAACAATGAAGAATCGGTTGCGCAAAGAGTCATCCAGCTGAATCTTCCATCAGCTTTTGCGGGGGAAGCAAATGCATGTCTACGAGCTTCTATGGGCAAAGGATCAAGGTTTTTTGACAATTACAGTATGTATGGACTCTCCGGTTTTGGTTGATACATTACGTAAGAGTCCTTCCTTCTTGCTCTTCCACTACTGTACTCGCGGATATATGTTTTAGTTGTAAATTTTTTAATTCTTAGAGTAGTGAAGGTTAGTAGTTAGTAGTTAAGCCACCTCATGATCTGGCTACATCTGTAAATGATTTTCCCACTTAATATTAATGTATGATGTTTTTCTGTTTCAAAAAAAAAAAAACCCGCATATGATGCTCTCATTAATGAGGAGCTGGAGGCCATAAATTTGCAGCTGCCCCTCACCTACTAACCGTTAAAATGGATTTATAATTAAATGCTACTTTACCATTTTGTTCTACCTATTGCTTTCAATGTATGAATGATCATAATTTTCATGGAAAAAAATTGAGACACATTCCTACATTTTCTAATGGGTAATGTTATGTGAGATATTTTATCATTTATTTGATAGAAAATTTGAGGCTTACAGCGTTCTTTTTTTTAATTGCTTCTCCAAGATCATAAAGGAAAGATAGTGATTTTACACGAGGCATATTCTAAATTTCTAATGGGTCTAATTTCTCTTCAGTTGAGATAGCGACTCGATTGTATTGTTGAGCTTCTGTACTCATTTTGATGATTCAATTTATTCATGTTTTATTTTTTTATTTTATATAATATTCCTATTTATAGATCATCTATGAAAATAATCAAATTGATCTCTACATATTTCATATTTGTTTTAAAAAATTGGATGATGAGTATGATTTTGAAAATAAATCTTTTATTTTTTTTGTTCTTTCTGTAAGACAAGTATAATGAAACTGTGTAATTACAATTATCAATTTGATTTTTTTTTTAATGATATACTCTACACATAAAGGCCTAAAAATAAATAGACCGGATTAATAAAATGGAAATGTGGTACAGTCTTCACTTCACAAAATTTAGGGGTGTTTCCACAAAAAATAAAAATATTAAGAGGGTTCCAAGAGAACTCCCTAATGTACTTACATGTTAAATGGAAAAGAACAGTGACACATAATGGCATGAACAGTTCTTTGTTTACAGGTCGTTCTTAAAAAAATAAAATAAAAAGACAAATTATAAATATATCCTTTGAAATTTGATTAAAATACAAAATATTTCCTGTAGTTTGAAAAATTACAAATATCCCTTATTAGAATTTTTTATTTAATAGCATTATCAAAAAAATGAAATTCATAATTGCTCTTCTATACAATAATAAAATTATTTAAATTATTAATCGAAACATATTTTTAATATTGCTAATTGACTTGATGATTTATTAATAAAATGGACGATTTGTTATGAAATTAGAAATCTCAGTGGGTGGAATGTAATTTTTAAAACTACAGGAGGCGATTCGTATTTTAATCAAAACTTAGGAGATATATTTGTAATTTACTAAAAAAAAAAGAAATAATCATATAATTTTAACATTTTTGAAACAATGTGTATAATAATGTATTACGATTATTAAATTAATTTAATTTTCTTATAAGTAATAAAGAGTACAAATTTTCAAAAAGTGAATATTCGTCGAAATAAACTTGATAGTGGGCCCATCAAATTAAATTGTACCAATTTAATTCTCTCTTTCAAATGAAGAGAAGTTCACATAAATTTAATATGCAGAAGATTTTTAGTTCATTAGTGATTAGACTGCATTTAATTGTTAGGGATCATTTGTTTTATGGTTTTAATTTTACTCTTATTATAAGATGTAATGGAAAATTTCAACATACTTGAAATAGAAGAGGGGAAAAAAAAAATATTTGGGAGGATTGGTGTCGCATTTAACCATGAAATTCAAGGACTTGGTGGTTGCATGCATTTACCCTCTCACTGATCTGTGGGCCACCACCCCACCACTATCAACCTCAATGCATGGCCAAACAGCTTTCTAATTTTATCAAAATTTCATTTTAATCTCTTTATCACTTTTTGAAATGAAATTGATTAGATCCAATTGTAATTTAAAGCCTAAGAGGTTGATTGAAACAATTAAAATGTGGACTCAAAATACAAAAATGCAAAGTGAAACCAGTGCATATAAGAGGGACAATTCCAAGCCCAGCTACATGGCAGATGACAGGTGAAGTAGCCCTTTAAAGTTGTGTTTGGTCTGGGGATTTAGGAAGGGATTTGAAAAGGAAAAGGGAAAATGTGTGTAAAATTAAGTGAAATGTAGGTGTATTTTATTCATATTTTACCTACATTTTTCATTTCTCTTTCCAAAACTCTCATCAAATCTCCCAATCAAATACAACATAAATGAATTTAAAGCCTCACCTACATATCAGTGCACTCACTCCACTCCTAACCACAATATATACACACGTCTTTGCTTAGAATCTCTCACAGATAACTGCTTTTTCTCTTCCTTGCTTGTGACTCACTCACACACTTTTGTCAGGCTTCGATTTGTTGTTGATCAAAGGATCATAGAGAAGAGAAAGAATGGGTTCAACAGGAAAGCTAGAAGTAGAAGTGGAGCTGAAGTCTAAACCAGAGAAGTTCTGGCATGGGATTAGGGAGTCCACCACACTCTTCCCAAAGGCCATGCCTGAAGAGTACAAGAGGATTGATGTTGTTGAAGGTGATGGCTTTTCTGTTGGCTCTGTTCGCCTTGTTCATTATGGTGAAGGTATATTTTATTTTCTCAATCATAGTTATTTTCTTTTTTAGCCTGTGTTTGGATCAAGATTTGTGGAGCAAATTTTTTATTTTTTTATTTTCCATTCACTTCTCTTTTAGCCTGTGTTTGGATCAAGCATAAGCCACATATGTGAGATAAATGGTCGGTTCCACATGAGGGATCCACTCTTTTATCTCACATTTGTAACCCATTCTGTAGGGCTAAAATCTTCTGTCCTGATTCAATATCCCCATTCCATTTTCTTAGCATTGGTGAAATGGATTATTTGCCAAATTTATTATTACCAGACACAAAAGTCGTGAATCTACATTAATAAATGCACAGATGACTCATTTATTTTGTGTTTAATAATAAGAAAAGATATATTTATGTATAAGACACATCAAGATCTCGACTCTTATTTAAAGGGTCCTAAAGATTGATCTTCAACGTGCACTTATCTAATAGAAGCACACTATTATTCACTAAGAGGCACCTCAATTCAATCTCTCCTCTTAAGGCTTGGGATTCTTTGTCCTAAACCTGCTTGTTCTATATTTTTGTATGCTTATTTTTATCCAACATTTTAGACATCAAAAAAATCACATATACAGAAAAAATAAAATAATAATTTATAATAATAATATATGCTCCATATTCATTTTAGATCATACCCAAAATAAATTTAGACCACACAAAACACCAAAATAAATTTGGATGATTTATTCTTTTCTATACAAACAACATTATTGCTATTAATTTGACATGAGTTTATGCAGGGTCACCCCTAGTGAAAGTCACGCACGAGAAGATTGAAGCAGTTGATGAGGCACAGATGACATATGCGTATAGTGTGATTGATGGGGATCTCCTCAAATTCTACTTCCATTAGTTGACGCATTCCTGGTTGTGGAACCAAAGGGAGATGGGAGCTTGGTGAAATGGGCATGTGAGTTTGAGAAGGCAAGTGATGAGATTCCTGATCCTAACATCATCAGAGACTTTGCTGTCAAGAGCTTCAAAGATCTTGATTCTTATCTCAATGCTTAGACTTGAATTCAATGCTATATTGTCTCTTTCAAAAATGTTCTCTCTCTTTTTTTCCCCCCTTATTTCTTTTTTTGTGGTCATCTATTAAATAATGTGGAGTCTTAACTCTACAATTATCTACTATGTTGATCTTTGTGAGTTTCTATCTGTATTTGCTGATTGTTTTAATGTAATCTGTTTTAATATTTCAAAATTATTGTACAAGAAAAAATGTCTATCTAATATTGTGCACTTACAATCACACAATTTATATTTCTTTAATTTTTAATTTAAAGAAAATGAAATCGTGAAACTATAAGTCCATATAATATTGGACATAGACTTATTTAAGAGAGAATGTCATCCATCCTAGGTGTCTTATCCTTTGGATATTACTGTGCTTTAACAACTGAAATGAAAGAAAAATATAGATACAATTATGTTAATTGTAATTTGATAGGAGATACAGACACAGGAAACAAGCAAGCGATACACAGTGGAGTCCGGAACTTTAGAGCACATTTTAATGGCGGACCTTTTATCTGTGCCCTAATTGATTTTAGATTTTTGTTCAATTTATGTGTCCTGATTGGCAATGTAATAATCTCTGCCCTAATTACTGTTATTCGAGGTTTTGGTTCAATTTATTTTTTACGAATATTTCTGGGGATTGAATTTGTGTGGATTGTGAATTTTGATGGATTGTTGATTATTGATTTTTCTGTACTGTTGAACATGATTAGATTTTTTGAATTTTGTATTGATTTCTTTCCATTTTAGTTTATTTAAATAAACTTCCTAGGGACATTAGCCAATAAATCTCATATTTTGAATTTATAATTTATATAGTCCTATATTTTGTTTTTTGTGATCCGTTTAGTCCTTTTGGATGTGTAATGACTCATTTGCCCGCCACATTAGAGTGTCATATTAGAAAAAAATATACTAATAAATTTTTAATTTGTTTAGAGTATCATATCATACCTGTTACGTTAGAGTGTCACATGTTATATTTTAAAAAATACACTAAAGAGTTTTAAATTTTTTGAAGTGTACCCGTCACGTTGTCACATTTGGGGAGTACACTTAGGAATTTTTAATTTTTTTAGAGTATTACATGTAGTTTTTTTGAAGTGTTACATCACACCCGCTACGTTAGAGTATCACATGTTACATTTAAGAAAAGTATATTAAGAAGTTTTTAGCTTTTTTGGAGTATCACACCATATTTGTCACATTGTCACATTTAAAAAAAATACACTATGGAGTTTTTAGTTGTCACATCATACTTGTCATGTCGTCACATTTGAAAAAAAAAATATACTAAAGAGTTTTTAGTTGTCATATCATACTTGTCATATCGTCACATTTACGAAAAATACACTAAGAAATTTTTAATTTTTTTGAAATGTCATATCATATCCGTCACGTTAGAATGTCACATATTATATTTAGAAAAAGTATATTAAAGAGTTTTAAATTTTTTTAGAGTGTCACATCATACCTGCTATGCTGTCATATTTAGAAAAAGTATACCAAAAAGTTTATAATATTTTTTTGGAGTGTCACATCATACACGTTACGTTGGATTGCTACATTAATACCTGTCACATTGAGTGTCACATCATACATGTCACATTAATGAAAATGTATAATCGTCTATCAAAACACTACCAAAATCGAAAATATGACCACATGGAATGAAACTCTCCATTCATATGACTTAACAGATCAATAAAAAAAACTTGAGACTAATTGAAGTACTCGTTTATGAGATGAAATTTATTGATAAATATCACAACTTTGTATGAATACTAGCAATAATTTTTATTTTTGATGATTTACTATTTTCCCTTATTTTTACAAAAATAAATAGGATAAATTACAATGACATCCCTTGAGGTTTGTATTTAATATAAATTGTCTTCTCACATTCTGATAATTACAACACCATCCCTGAGGTTTATAGTCCACTATACAAATTGACCCTTCCATTAGTTGACAGTCAAGTCAAACTAACAATTTTGGCTTATTTTCACAATTAATTTTCGAAAATACCATATTTACCTTTTCATCTTTATACTTAGTTGTCTCTCTCTTCCCTCATTTCCACACCCATATACTACAGTTCTTTTTTTTTTTTTTTTTTTTTTTTTGATTCAAATACTACAGTTCACCCTTACTCTGCAAATATTGTCTTTAGGAAAGCGACTAAGTAATGCGACTTGAAGCATCATATTTTTGTTCTACATAGACAAGTTCATCGTCAAGTTTTGCAGACCCGAAGACCACCAATTGAAGAATTCAAGAAGAATTGTTCTAACAATCTAAAGATAATAATTAGATGTGGCAATGTCTATTCAGAAAATGACTCAAGATTTCATGAAGCTTGACCGTTTTGATGGAGAAAATTTCCGACACTGACAAAAGAATATGCACTTTTTGCTCACCACTCTCAAAGTGGTCTATGTGCTAACTACCCCTATCTGATGGAGCAAGAAGACGAGACTATAGAGCAAACCCGTACCAGAACCAAATGGGAGAATGACGACTACGTTTGTCGATGACACATTCTGAATACACTGTCATACTCTATGTTCGATGTATATCAACATCAGGAAACAACAAAGCAACTATGAGACATATTACAGTCAAAGTACCTCACCGAGGATGCCACCAATAAGAAATTTTTTGTTCGTAATTTTATGCGTTTTACTATGATTGATACAAAGCCCATTATGGAACAATTCCATGAGATCCAACATATTCTGAGTCAATTTCGACAAAAGAATATGAACATGGATGAATCTATTGTAATTTCATCTATAACAGAGAAACTGTTATCTTCTTGAAAGGATTTAAAGAAAATTCTAAAACACAAAAATGAAGATCTTAGTTTAGAGGAATTGGCTCAACACCTTCGAGTTGAGGAAGAGTTAAGGCTTCTTGAAGGTAAAGATAACCAATTGGCTTAGACTTCCAAGATCCACATGGTGAATGATGGCAAGAAGTTTAACAAAAAGAAGTGTAAGCGTGAACCCTAACCCGTGAAAGATGCTAAGAAGCCGAAAGGCGCTTGCTGGCACTGTTGCAAGCTAGGGCACTTCAGAAATAAATGTTGGTCATACAAAAAGAAGCCAGAAGCATCAAATACCAAGAACAAGTTCGTGGCTGTTATGTCCGAGGTGAACATGCTCGAAGATACTAGTGACTAGTGGATTGACTTAGGAACAACAAGGCATGTCTGCAACGACAAGAGTCGTTTCACTACTTATGAACAAATGAGTGATAGAACAGTTCTCTATATGGGCAACTCTTCAACTGCTGCTATCAAAGGCAAATGGATAGTGGATTTAGAGTTCACATCTGGAAAAGTCTTAAGTCTTAGTGATGTTTATCATGTACATGATGTCAGGAAAAATCTTATATCTAGAAGCTTGCTTAATTAGCATGCTTTCATGTTAGTATTTGAGTCGGACAAATTTGTCCTATCTAAGGGTGGGATTTTTGTTGGGAAGGGCTACATGTTCCAAGGAATGTTCAAATTTAACGTTATCCATAGTACATCTATTTCTGCTTATATTGTTGATTCTCTTTCTTTATGGTATGCTCGTTTAGGTAATGTTAACACTAGGAAAATGCGTGATATAGTTAATTTAGATTTAATTCCTAAGTATGATATTGATATGTTTGAAAATTCAAATTTTGTGGGCAGTCTAAAATTACTCGCATTCTATTTCCTAAAGTAGATAAAATCGCATCTCTACTTGAACTTGTGCATAATGATGTATGTAACATGCATTGTACCCTCACTAAAAGTGGTAAAAGATATTTTGTAACATTCATTGATGATTTTTCTAAGTACTGTCGTATCTATCTTTTGCATTCAAAAGATAAGGTGCTTAATAAATTCAAGATTTTTAAGACAAAAGTGGAAAATCAGTGTAATGTCAAAATAAAGAGACATAGGTTTGATAGAAGCGGTGAATATCATTTTCCAGAATACTATGAAAATGTTGGTATTATTCATGAGAAGTCTGCACCCTACACACCAGAACAAAATGGAGTAGCTGAAAGAAAGAATAAGACATTAACAGAAATGATTAATACTATACTTTCTTACTCCAGTTTAAGTTTTAGTTTTTTGGGTGAAGCCTTGCTCACTGCCTGTCACATACTCAATAGAATTCCTCTCAAGGAAAGAAATGTTACTCCTTATGAACTTTGGAAAAATAAGAAATCTAATCTAGGTTACTTGAAAACATGGGACTATAGAGCAATAGTTAGATTGCCTGAACCTAAAAAGAAGAAATTAGGTGAAAAAGGAATTGAATGCATATTCATTGGCTATGCTATACATAACAAAGCATATAGGTTTTTAGTAGTAGAGTCCAATGGTTCAGTAGAAACAAATACCATCATTGTATCACGTGATGCGGTATTTTATGAGAATCGTTTCACAACCATTCTAAGGTTGGATTCTAATCAAGAAAATAAAACAACTCATTTGATGTCTACAGCGGAAAGTGAACGGCATGAACATATTGAGCCTAATGAACCAAATGAGCCTGTTGAGTTAAAGAGGAGTAAGAGGGCTAGGACTGAAAAGTCATTTGGCCCTGATTTCATTGTTTACCTTGTAGGTGGAACTAGGAAAGTTTATTGTAAGAAAAAAATGATTTCTTTGGATATAGATTCAGATCCATTAACCTTTGAGGAGGCTATGAAGTCTCAAGATGTTACTTTCTGAAAAGAAGCAATAAACGATGAGATTGATTCTATCATGGGTAACAATACCTAGATACTTACTGATTTGCCACCTTGATCCAAACTAATTGGTTGTAAATGGTTTTTCAAAAGGAAAATGAAAGTTGATGGCACAATTGAAAAGTTCAAAGCAAGATTAGTTGCAAAGAGTTTTACTCAAAAATAGGGTATCGATTATTTTGATACATATGCTCCGGTGGCCAGAATTGCCACCATTCTTAGCCTCAATCTATAAGCTTGAAATCTATCAAATGGATGTTAAGACCGCTTTTCTAAATGGAGAGTTAGATGAGAAAATCTAAATGCAACAACTAGAAGGATTTGTCATACAGGGTCAAGAACACAAAATGTGTAAACTCGTGAAGTAACTATATGGACTGAAATAAACTCCAAAACAGTGGCATGAGAAATTTGACAAAGTAATAGTGTCAAATGGTTTTAGAATACATGAATCTGATAAGTATGTATACAGTAAGTTTATTGGCAATAGAGGTGTAATCATATGTCTATATGTAGATAACATGTTTATTTTTGGTACTAACAATGATGTCATTGAAAGTAATAAAAGTTTCTTGTCGTCTAACTTTAGTATGAAAGACATGGGCTTAGCTGATGAAATTCTGGATATTAAGATCAAATGAGAGGATAATAATTTGATTCTAACACAGTCGCAGTATATTGAAAAAATTCTTAAGAAATTTAATCAATATAATTATACACCCATGTCTACACCTTTTGATTCAAATTTGAAATTGTATCCTTATACTAGAAGAACTGTTGATCAGCTAGAACACTCAAGAGTAATAGGTAGCCTGATGTATGCCATGACTTGCACTAGACGTGATATTGCATTTGCAGTGGGAAAACTTAGTAGATACACTAGTAATCCCAATAGTGTGCATTGGCATGCTGTTAACTAAGGCTTCCTTTGGGAAGCGATTGGTTTAGCCAAAAAGTCAAAAAGTTATTAAAAAAATCAAAAAGCCAACAACCCATATCAAAAAGTCAAAGATTCCCTTTTCTCTCTACTTTTTGCTCAACTTTTCGTAAAAAGCTAAAAAGTCATCCCAAACATACTAGTTTTTTTTAATCACATTTTAACCAAAAAGCCAAAAAGTTACTAAAAAAGCATGTTCCCAAACGAGGCTTAAGTACTTAGGTACTTGAGGAAACAATAGACTATAGAATAGTCTATAATGGCTATCTAGTAGTGTTGGACGGATTCATGGATGCTAGTTGGATAACTGACCGTGAAGATCACTCGTCCACGAGTGGTTGGATTTTCACTCTTCGAGGAGGAGCTATCTCCTGGGGTTCTAAAAAGCAAACATGCATAACAGACTCAACCATGGCGTCAGAGTTTGTAACATTGGCTTCTTGTAGCAAAGAGGCAGAGTGGCTAAGGAATCTCTTGTCAGAGATTAAGATATGACCAAAGCCTATACCACCAATATCTTTGCATTGTGATAGCGAAACAACTCTATCATGGGCCTATAGTCATGTCTATAATGGAAAGTCCAGGCATATAGGACTGAGACATAGTTGTGTTAAACAGTTAATCACAAAAGGTGTGATTACCATTAGTTATGTAAAGTCAAGTGAAAACTTGGCTGACCTCTTAACAAAGGGACTTGCAAGAGATTTGGTGTGGAAACCATCAAAGGGGATGTGTCTTAAGCCCACTTAACATAATCACTCCTGGTGGAAACTTGACTCAACGCTTGAAGAAACATCAAGTCTTGAGTTCAATAAGCCCAAGTACACCATATGTCGTGATTGCAAGCACTTAGTTTTATTTTATTTTTATCCCAAGGTTGAAGTGCTTGGTACATGTAATGTGAAAAGAAGAGGATGAGGTAGCAAACTCTTAATAAGTTTACAACTGAGTTGTTAGGGCACTATAAATTACAGGGGTGCTCTTAGTAAGGTTACCTATGTGAGTGTAAAAGGTGGTGCCCTTCCTATGAGTCCAAGGGCTTGACTCTAGAGTGCTCATGAAACAGGATATAGACACAAGGCTAATCCATGTGTCGGTTTGTTTGAATACTTGAGGTAACCTGTACTATGCATGAGACAGGTCCGGTTAGTCGTGTAAGATCTCTAGTTCAAAGACAAGTCTACTATGACATTTTGAATAACTTTGAAATGTCTTCACTAAGTGAATGATTCAAATCGTAAGATATCTTCACCTATGCATAAGGCTGCCAAGTGAACCAAGAATCATCATTTGATATTTTAAAAATGGTGGGGGAATGTTGGGGAATTTTCAAAATGGGTTTTCAAATTTATAGCTTATTTTTGGGTGTTTTCAAAACCTTTCATATTTTTCTTTGGAAAGTATGAAATAAGCATTGGGCTTTGTCTCACATCAGAAAGAGAGAAAAACATGAAGCACTTAATAAAGTTCTATATGAAATATTCCTTTGAATATGGTATTATGGGATGAATGCTAGTGTACATGCACTCACATCGCAAGGATGGTGCTTTGTACCATAGCACATGCAAACGCTCGTGCGCATGGCGTTGGCAGTGGCCTTTTTTTGTTGGTTTTTGGGGCCCCCGTTTGGGGGGGAAAAAAAAAAAAAAAAATTGGGGGGGGCCCCCGGGGCCAAAAAAACCTATAATAGACTCGAAATAGCCATTTCAATTCCATCCAAAAACTCAGAAGCATTCCTGCAATTCTCTCTCTCTCTCTCTCTCTCTCTCTCTCTCTCTCTTGATTTTGAGTTTTCGATCAAGAGTTCTTTTAAGCAAATTTCTACTTTTTTTTATTAGTAATCAAGTTCTGCAGATTTGATTATCAGTGTCTTAATTTTCTTAATTATATCAAGAGTATTCTGATCTACTGTCATCGGTACAGACGCCGATAGACTTGATCTTTAGATCAGGCTTCATTATATCCTGGAGGCGAATTTGCTGCAACCCCTTGCACACCTTTTGGTGGGTACAAATATTGTCTTTAGGAAAGCGACTAAGTCACACGACTTGAAGTATCATATTTCTGTTCTACATAGACAAGTTTATCGCCAAGTTTTGAAGACCCGAAGACTACCAATTGAAGAATTCAAGACGAATTTTTCCAACAAAATCCTTATTATAGTATTATTAATATAGAATATTTTCAAAATTTATAAGCTCGCCCATAAGAGTTTTTTGTTTTTAAAAATATTAACAATATTATAAGCTTTAAGATAAGAAAATTTTAATTACATATACATCCGTCACTTAATATTAAAAATCTTGTATAGGTATACGCCAACCATGTAAGCTCTAACAACTCCACGAGTTCCAAAAGGGTCTTTGGTGGACCCATAAGCTTATGAGAGCTTCTTGACTGATTTTTGGTCACTAATATTTCTTATAATCCCTATGCATACCGAGAATCCAATAGCCAGCAACTCAATATCAAGCCTCAGTTTCCAAGCATTGAGGTCCCTTTCTGCAATCAAACAGACTACGGCGGATATTATGGTTCCAAAAATACTAGAAATGAGTATTATCATCTGCTCTGCAAGGTAGTCCTTTATAATCCAAGCCTAAACATGTTGCAAACATTAATAGTTAGTTAATATTTCTAAGAGGAGCTTGATTAGGATTGTTAGATTTATGAAGCATCCAACCTAAATTCAATTGTCATTGAGTGGAGTGGTTTCTAACATGTTATGAAAGTTTGGTCTTGGGTGACTTCACGGGTCTAGTTTCCCTTATGAATATGTTTCTCTCAGTGGGTAAACTTATCCCGCATCATTTCTTATTTTAATACAGTCTAAGAACCTCTCCACTCAATACCACTTGATTTTTAGTTGGGTGCTTCTAACAAATTTAACAAAGATTTTTTGACAATAAGGTGTACCTGGACAATGTACAATAGTGCTTTGAGAAAGCTAGCAACTGCAAGGACAAAGCCTCCAAGGATCCAGCTTGGTGGTGGTGAGAGAAGAAGTTGATGGGGTGAGTTAGAGAGAGACGATAATGAGAATATGATTGATGGGCCTTTGTATAATGTCACAATGAAGGCCCTATGATTGATATCATGCTGCCAATGGACTTGGCTTGACTTGGCTTGGCTGCCCTTCGCTTTCAAGTTTAGTTTTTCCATCCTATAATTACCCAATTAAGTGCATAACAATTAACACTACTACAATCATAAATAGATTATAGATATTCTTGTAATTTGTTATATTGATCATAGCATATGCTATTTGGGGCTTGGTGTAATCGTTAAATGTTCTGTTTTTTTTTTTTAATAATCAATAATTAAGACAGAATCTTTTGGACTCATTCAATGAATGCAATTAAAAACTCAAATTCAAGATACATGTGATTACTTTCTAACCTTGCATGTTGGGTAAAGTAGGATATCAGGACTAAAACCAGAAACTTCTTGAATAAAATTAGGTGACTTTTCATTTGAACTAACTTTACGAGTGGTGTGAAGGATAAAATTTGTTAATTTGAATAGAATATACCTATATATGAAAACCATATACTTCAATCATTTGGAGCAATGACATAAAAAAGTAGCTCGAAAGTAGTTAAAAAATAAAATTTATGTGGTATGGTTTAAAATTTATTAGTATATTATTAGTCAAATTTAGAATGAGTTTGATTTATACACTATTCATTTATCACTTTTGGTGTTATTATTTTTGGCGCTGTACCATTATTGTGACATTAAACAAATGTATTAAGAGTACTGTGGATGAAGATTTTTCTAATTAAAAGGGTTCAGGATTAAAATTAATACAAACACCAGAAGAAAAAAATAATGTACAAAATGCATTTCATTAATTCATTCGAATGGTGCTTACACTAACAAAGGCCAAATATTCTTAATCTCCAAATCTCTATGGTCTTCTGTAAATTTTAAAATACATAAATTTCAAGACATAATTTAATAATTAAGAATGTATTGAGACGGGAATAAAAGATTTTTGAAAATAAAATATCTGGTGCCCTCTATGAGGATGAATGTTTTGAGACAACTTATTCTTTTCTTTTCTTTTCTTTTCTTTTTTTCTTTTTTTTTTCTTTTTTTTTTAGTGTGTGTATACATTGCTAAAGCTTCGATGCTTTTAACCAATAGGATCCTAATTAAAATATGGCACTTAATTAAAGTCAAATCTTCCCAACGATCTGGTGTCATGTATACACTTTCACTTCAATTAACTTGTATAATCAAGCGTATGCTCCTTTCTGTTTATTTTAATATATAGATAACGTGGATAAGAAAAGCACGCTAGTGGGAGTTCTCTTTCTATGGATGTATATTATAAAGATCATCATTTTTGGGTTGGGTTGTCTTGTCTTGTCTAACATCCAAGTCCTTGTGTTCATCAATAATTACAATAAAGTTATTAAACGAGCAAGACCTATCTCAAAAATAGAAATTTAAAATTGTTACACATTTTTTTAAAAATATTTTATTAACTAGGGCAATAGCATTAACTTAGGTACGATAACAGGTACTCCGGTCATAAATTTAATTTTAAAATTTTTGGAATTATAGCTTAATACTCTAATTTTTTAGAAGCTTAAGAATAATAACAACTTGAAAAATCATATTATCTCTACATATCTAGTTATCTATCCATTATTCGATCTATTTATACAGTGTCACTTATCTGTCCATCTAATCTACCCGTTTGTCCATATTACCACGATCATTACTCACTGTTGACTGTTACCACCAATTGTCGCCAATTAATTCCGACAACTTTTTCAGTGACTCGTGACCACCAATGGTTAGAAATAAAATTAAAAAAAGTACCTTTCAAAATAATAGTTTATCATTCTCACCAAATAATTCATTAATTATATTCTTACTACTAAAATAAAATAATCTTTGGACCTAATGTAATGCATCTTAGAAAGAAAACATATATAACAAAGATTAATTAATGTGATTGATTGAAGCATTGGGAACTTCAGCCATAGGTAAGACACCAACATAAGGTTCTTTCTAGGAAGGTTCTTTCTAGGTAAGACACCAACATAAGGTTCTTTCTGAGCAAGGATCCTCTAAAAAAAAATTTTCCTAAAGTTTCTTAGAGTGGTGTATTATGTGGTTGAAATTTAATGATAAATCACATCAATTTTTCAGGATTAAATCTCAACCACACAATACACCACTTTAAGAAACTTTAAGAAAAAAATACTTTAGAAAATCCTTGGTGGGGCTTATGTTGTCGTCCCCCAAACCTCAATAATTGATCCTTATATGATCCAAAAGCCTCTTCCCAAAAAATAAATAAATAAATGAAGAATAAAGATTAGTAGTGGTTACCTGAACACAATAGCAAGTAAGAAGGTCCAAACAGGGGTGAGATTGGTCATTGCAGAGGCCAGAGTTGGAGAGGCATACCCAATCCCATTAACCATAAACAGCTGCAAACAACAACTGAACTCCCATATATCATCCAATCAATCATTATAATTGAGCAAAATTGAAAAATCAGTAAGATAAGATTTAAGACAGTACCAAACAAGGCCAAGAAGAAAAATTTTGCAGATGACCAACAAAGGAGGAGCTGTTGTTCTGTGAATTGAGAGAGAGAGAGGGAGAGAGAGAGATGTTAAAAGGTACATATGGTTAGATATATAACAATGGTTATATATGTGTGTGTGTGTGGAAGGTGAATATATAAAAGAGACCTGTGAAAGATGAGAGTTGAAAGGAAGAGGAAAATAGTAGCAATGGTGTAAGAGTAGAGAACAAAGACACAGTTACTCATTCCTCTCTTCATGGCTGCTTTACTCACTGTGTTTAAACACACCTCCAAGAATTCCACCATCACCAATGCCACTATTATCCCTCCACTCCACATCTCTCTCTCTCTCTCTCTCTCTCTCTCTCTCTCGCGGGTGAGTTAATCCATGCCCAGTTTTAAAAACAATAGTCCTACTTATTATGATAAGTAAACACAAAATCATTAAGTGAATAAATGATTTTTTTATGAATAAAATCTACCAACACACAAATCAGTCTGGAGCTATTGGGTGAATTATTAATCTAGAATTAAGATTATTATGTAAATAATGTCTTGTAATATTCTAAGGTTAATAATTATTCATTATGGTCTTTGAGAAGATAAGTTAATAGATGGCTCAAGATGAAGATTGGTTGGCCGGTAGTTGGTGGTTTGATAAATTTATTGTATTATCTAAATATAATTCCACCAGCAAACCAATAAAAATGATGTATGTGAAATGTTACCTTTGATTTAACCAATAATTTTTTCATTTGAGAAGGATAATTATATTGTGTTTGATTAGGTAATTTGAGAAATAATTTTAAAAAAATAAATAAATAAAATATGAATAAAATATATTTATATTTCACATAATTATATATATATATATATATATCTTTAAATCTCTTTTTATATCTTTCAATCAAACAGTTTTAGGCATAGTTTGGGAAGTTGATTTTGGTGGGTTAGGGGCTAAAATAGTCACAAAAAACAAAATAGGCTATTTTAGTCACAAAAAACAAAACATCAAATTCAACCCATAATCATTACACTCCTCTCTCACAAAAAAAGTCAAAAAGCCAAAAAATCCTTCCCAAACCAGGCTTTTTAGCCCCAGGCTAAAATAGCCAAAAAGCTAAAAAGCCAACCCACTTCCCAAACGGAGGCTTAATGGCCTTGTTTGGTTTGATCCTGAGAGATAAGTTTTCAAAAAATATTTTAAAAAAAGAGTTTAGAAATTTTTGTAATTTGTTTAGTTGTATATTTTGAAAATAGTTTTGAAATTTGGGAGTTTAGAATTATTTGATATTTTGTTATCATTGAATAGATGTATCTGAGAGAAAAAGTGATTGAAAATGAGAGAATAGAAAGAAAAAGTGATTGATTGCTGTGTAGAAGAGAGAGCGTGATTTTAAAAAAAAAAATTAAAAAAATTAAAAACCAAACAAAAATTTTAAAAATTTTCTTTAAAATCTTTTTCTGAAAGTCAAATCAAATAAGGCGAATATTTTTGTTGTGTTGACACGATTGAACCTCTTTAGTGTGACATGATAGATTAGATTAATTGAAATTGGCAATGATGAAGAAGACTCATGGAAAGCTTATGACCATTGATTACAGGTATCAAAGTGGGAGCCTATATATTCCCTCACAGATGTTTTTATGCTATCATTTTCGAATTAACAAGAAAGAGTACTTGATTGGCACAATTGACTATTCTAATGATTAAGAATTTGTCAAAGGATTCGTTGTTAGAAATAATAATAATAAATGAAATAAATTTTTATTCAAAATTTTGATCCAAACACCATCTAAATGGACCAACCTAACCGAAAAAAAATGAAGGACTAGAAGCGAGAGAATGCAAAAAATACTTGTAAGAAAAAATAAATAAAGGAATTCAAAAAATTGTTCAAAAAAAATTAAACATAAGTGTCTAATATATATATATATATATATATAAAGTTAAGCGATATTTAGTTTTGACTTTTTGACTAAAAAAGTATAAAAGACAAAATTGGTTATATAAGTTAATAAAATAATGTCACATTCAAATTATAATCATTAAATTTTTTCTTTTACAAAAGTTAAAAAGCCAAAAATAAATACCAAACGAAACGAAACTAAAATAGCTAAAAAGTCAAAAAATCAAGCTATGTTGGCTCTTCCCAATGAAGACTAATGTGATTTGAATCTCTGTATTTTTAGGTTAGGTTTGGCATCTCCAAAAAAGTTAAAAAGTCAAAAAGTCACTATTTTATTTAAGTCACATCATCTTATTTAAGTCACATGACCTCTCCACCACATTACTTCAAGCCCAATCTCTATTTTTCAAAAAATCAAAAAGTACACTTATTTAGATCATCCCAAACAACCCATTAATCTCTCTCTCTTATATTATAAAATCTTCTTAAAAAAAAAGGATAGCTAATGTGTGATTTTTTATCATCTGTTTACTATCTCAATTTGCTAATTAAAAAATTTAACTCTCTATAATTTTTTTTTATTTTACCAACAAAAAAAAAAATGAGAATGGATGGTATTGGGCCCAACAATATTATCTAAGGAAAAGAATTCATTCATTTGGTATTTAGCATTCGTTTGGAATGTGGGTTGATTTTTTTAACTTGACGTTAAAAAGCCTCGTTTGGAATAGACTTTTTGGCTTTTTAAATTTTTGTGAGAGAAAAAATAAAATAATTGTGAATTGAATATGACATTTTATTATGTTTGACTAAATAATCTATTTTATTCTATATAACTATTTTGGCCTAAACCCTCGTATCGAACGTGACCTTAGAGTGTCGACTGTTTTGAGTGAGTTTTTGAGTACATAGCACAACAATTGTCATTTGTTTTATTATTTGTCATTTTATGTAGAAATGGTCTAATCATTCACTTTTTCTTTTCTTTTTTTTTAGGTGTGTGTGAAGGTCGTGAAGTAGAAAAATCTACTTAGGTGCTTGCATGGGCATCCCAATTCTGAGAAGTTTGATTTTGTTTAAAGATTTTAACATAATTTGTGATTGATGTAAAATAACGGGATTCATAATTTTGGATGTGTTAATATAAGTAATTATTCTGTTTTTAAAAATTTCATATTAGTGATGGGCACAATTAATAGTAAGGGTCTAAATAATTTTAAATGACCCCCACAACAAAGAAAATGTGAAGGACCAAACCCTGCAACACAAGCTTTTGTCTATTCTTATCTGCAACACTAATTTCCAAAATAAATTTAGGAAAAAATAAAAAACGACTCCACCATACAGAACTCTCGTAGCTATAACCCAATCCTTTTGTTACCATATGATGTTGACCATTGAAGCACCATAAAGTATAAACATACAAGCATTTTCACACTTTACTCTATTTTATTTCTAATCCCTTATGGGGCTTCATGTCAAATTGGGTTGGTGAGAGATACCTATCCTGTGAAATTTTTTTCTAAGTAGGTGTGATAATCACAAAGATCCAATGCAAAATGTCTCAATCGAAATGAAGTTTAGAGGAAAAAAACCAATCTAGTTGAAAGAGATGGCACAGGTCTAAGGATGGCAATGCTTCAAGTTCAAGCCCAGATAAAATATGATATTAATTAATTTAGCTCCTTGAAGAAAAGCCTCACCCCCCACCCAAAAAAAAAAAAAAAAGTTATGATTATTGATATCATCATTTGGCCCGTCAACCCATGACCCGTCCCATTGGACTTTAGCCCGTGTTGGTGATCTAGGTGTTGAAATCAGGCACACCCATTAGCCCAGCTCATCGGCTTGCTCTCAAGCCAGACGCACCGGCCCGATAAAAAACATAAAAAAATCAATTAAAAAACAAAGGAAAATATTACAATCCAATCTAGAAAAATAAAAACCGAAATAGGCCCAAATCTAGAAAAAGAAAGAAAAAACTACCAAATGTCCCATCAAGGAGACACAAAGAAGGCCCAAATTTTAGATATCAAAGAAGGCCCATTTAAGAGCCAAATGGCCCATTAAGTAGCTGGGAATGTACCTTGTTTGAACATAATCATTGGGCCTTATCTATTGATGGTTGAGAAAGAATAATGACAAGCAACCACTATGAAAGAAGGAATTGAGTAAGGAGTATGTAGCAATGAACACATTATTAGCTGTGTTTCAAACCCCAAAATATTTCAAATTTCTTATTGAGAGAAGTGAGAGCAAGAAGAATCTTACCTTCACTACATGGCCATGCCCCCCATGTGCCATCCTTTCTGTAAAGAGACAATTAAATAATCAAAGTACAAGTGCCATTGTTTTGACATGAATTGACATTGTTGGGGACAATCTTAAAGTGATAAAAAGAAAATTGTGAAATTTTTAGACATGCCATGGTTGGTAGTTGGGGGAAATTTGCAAGCTCTTGGTGGGGTGGCAATTTGTCTCTCACTTTCTTTCTCTCCATCTCGAGTCAGTATATGATGTGCACCTATTAAATGGAGTGCATCTTGCACATCCCAATATATGATTGTTATGTTGCCACGTCAAAAAGCTAGCTACTACTTAATGTGATTGGCAGCTGATCACATTGTGTCGTAACCAACTACATATCTGGATGAGTTATAACACGATATAAATCACGTTATGTCGTAACTAGCTATATAGTCTAATGAGTTATGGAATGATATTGTCAGCCCTCACATTGGGGCTAGTTTATTCAATAGTCTTGAAATACCATGTGACATTATTCATGTGATTTTTCCAACCATGACGTAGTGAAAAATTTAACAAATAAAACAATGTTGACTTCACATTTGTTAAATAATTGAGAGAATGATTATTCACCTAGTGTGGTTTACTATTGCTTTTTGTACATTAGATCATGGTAGATTACATTTAATCATAATTTTTGAAAGTATGCACAAAAATAAAAAATAAAGATATTAGTAGGGTTTTCTGGTCATGGAAAAAAAAGGAGAGGGGAGAGGGGGCCAGGAGACACTTTCTGGGTGATTGATCAAATGTCCCTATCTAATGAACCCCACATATCTCAGTCATGTTGTCCTCAATCACTAAGGCTTTTTAGATGCCTATTCCATCTCTCTATGATTGTAAGTCATTTTCAAAGCTCTGTTTGCTATACAAACTAGCATCACCAAACCAAAAAAAAAGAAGAAAGAAAAAGTCCCCCCACCGAACTTGTGCAATCATAGCTATCTCACTTAGAAAATTGAAGCAACACCTAACATCTTATGATCATTTTTAACTTGTTTTTCAACTTAATTGAACACCACATCACAACTTAAGGGCCTATTTAATTGTGTTATTGTTTTTCTTTTCTTTTTTAAATAATTGTTTTTGAAAACTTTTTTGCACAAAGATGAAAATGATATGAAAGTAATGTGTGTTTTTTAAAACTTTTCATTATTTCGTTTTTAAAAATAAAAATAAAAAGTATAAAGATGATAACACAATCAACCAAACTAAGTTATCTCGAGAGCTTATTACAATATTAGATTTTTTATAGACCATGATTAAA